TGTTTTGATAGCGTTTGATGGTAACACAGTACTTTCAATGAGTAAATTGTAGCTGTTTCCCTATAGTACCAGTCTGTATGCTAAGCTAGGCTAACAGCTGCTAAATGTTTTCCGTATAGACTGTATGTAAAAATGGGTGACATCTAAGCTCCCAAAAAGTGAGGCCAAAGTGTCTCAATCGCCACCTGGTGGCTGGCTGAACTCTAATTACATAAACCTCGCCTCATCCATGATAATGAAATAGACTTGGACAAAACATAAAAGTACACGTCAAATAAATTTTGTTTAGGTTTTCTCCCAAGTTTGGTTTTAAGTCACTATGCTTTAAAAACTGGGTGAAACTTTATGATTGACAGCTGAGACTGACTCGTGATTGGTGGAGTGCGTGTGTCGACGGGACCTTGCAAACGTGGCTCCATCCCGGATCGCTACTTTGCAGACTCTGGTTCCAAATGTGCAAGATGGGTTAGTGGGAGGATATGGAGACGTGTCATCCATCTTTATATACAGTCTATGATGCAGACATAACAATCTTTCATGTAACTTTTGGCAAGAAATTAAATAATTAGCATATTTATTGTTAGACTGTTGCCTGAATAAATGTTCTTACGCGTTATCCAATTCTCACAGTGGAAGAATGTCACAACACAGATTATATTGGTTATTACAATAATAAATGAGTTATTTGCTGTTGCATGTCTTAACTGTCTCAAGATTGACAAACTTTTTCAATATTATCCTTAAGGTTTTTTCATTGACCTAGCTCGTTCATTCTGCCCCCAGAGCACTTGTCTATTCACAGAAAAAAATTCACGCTGCATTGAAACTGAGGGGTAAAGATCAGCACTGAATTGGGTTGAATAATTTAGTTGATGGAAAAGATAATTAATGGGGAAGGAGTCAATAGCCAGTGTGGACGGTAAAAGTATAAAGTCTGTGTGTGTGTGTGTGTGTGTGTGTGTGTGTGTGTGTGATAAGAAGGGGCACAGGTGGGGGGGAGAAGATCTCATCTAAACGCTATGAAAAATTTAACAGCAGGAGTAGACAGGAATGACAATGTCTGTGAAGGCACGCAACAAACCAAGTCCCCCAATTATATCTGACATTTAACTGTCTGTCCTCTTTACTCTGCACTTGATGCACATCCTGCCAAGTCAATGAATTGAGGAATAACTATGTTTATGGACTTTATTAGTCACATAAAAGATTTACTGTGTTATTATGTTTGTATTTGGAGCCTAGCAGGGCATCTGAAAAACATTATAGCAGATTCCTGTGAAAGAAACAGATGCATATTTTATCTTATCACATTTGATAAGATAAGTAAGGAGGCTCTTCCTCATAAACTGCATTAAGAATCTGTGTACTTTGATGCAGATTTTATCAGTATTTGATTGATGGCACAGCCTTGGTAGAGATGTGCTTTCCAGATGTATTATTTTAATAAAGTATTAATTTTCTCAGTCATTTTTCAAGCCAAAATGCCAAATTTACAGTTTCCAGCCTCTCATATACAAGGTTTTTCTGCTCGTTTAGGACCATTGGCCACTAAAACAAGCAATTACAAGTCATCACCATAGAAGTAACCTGATGAGAATCTTTTCATTATTTTTCTTATAGTTCACAAACTAAAAGGTTAATCAATGCATCTACCAAAATAACCAATAGATTAATCAAACACTCATTATATAAAACCCTATTTTGTAATCTGAATCTGGATCAAAATACACATTGTCATAGACAATATTGGTACAACTCATATAAGCATGGAAATGAAATGTGCCAGAAGTTTTTCATACATGTAGCAGTGTAAATGCTAATGAAATCTGACAATGCTAAGAAAAGTTCACGAAAAAAATGTATCCTTGGCCCAAAATCTTACTGACATCCGGTGACAGGTTTTTTAAATATCCGAATAGGTATAAAACAAATGCTGGTGTTCCCTGGCAGCATTCCCAATATGGTGCTATGTTGTTGGTGGTGACATCTTTGCATTGTTGCATTGTTAGACTGTATATAATGATGGACAACATGACTTTCTCCCAAATATAGGGCCAGAGAGTCTCAACTACCCTCTAATGGCTGGTGGAGGCCAAAAAGTCTTAACTGCATTCTAATGGCTGACTACAATATAGTTCATAAACCCTGCCTCTTCCATGTTAGTAAACGGGACATGGGACCAACTAAAAGGTCAAAGCACACTTTAAATATATTTTTTTCAAAGATGGTTTCGTCATTTTAGGTAGTTTAGGTGGTTCCAGTAAGTTTGGTTTTAATTATTTATTTAATGCCATATAAACGGTGTAAAACATCAGGATTCACAGCTGGGACTGACTCGCAATTGGTTAAGTGTGTGCCTCAGCGGCGCCTCAATATCGCGGCTTCACACCACGATCACTACTGTGCAGACTCCAAAAAACATCAAAAGCACAAAATGCCAGATTCATTTGATACAAAGGAAGGTGAGTGAATGGGTGAATGCGTAGTCCATCCTTATATACAGACTATGGCTTAGAAAGCCAAGAAGGTCGCAAGTGACTCCTACTGGTTGGCCAAGATATAGCATATACCTCATCCAAAAGGAGGGTGAGCAAGGAAAAGTGACAAGGAATTAGGCATTCAAAAAATTCTGTCATGGTTGAGGTTTCATATACCATGAAAAAAAGTACTCTTACACAAAACACAGCAGGGTCGCGCTACTGTAACCTGATGGTTAAGACTCATGTAACGTTATCTCAACGTTAAAGGTGCTATTTTATATCTACATAAATATAATACATTTCATGCACACTGAGTAACAAACTAAAACTGTGATTTTAGAAAAGAATTGGTCATAATTAGCTACTTCTCTTCCATTGTCTTACTGTATTTAAAGTCTTTTAGGATGGAGCTTCAGCAAAGCACTTTAGTGCAGCAGCCTAGCAGGGTGATGGTCTGCTCAGCAGCATATTGCTGTCAGTTCATGTACCGTGTAAATTATGGGCAGACAAACCACCGTTGTTCCATCAAGTACTCAGTTCAGTTTGACTTGGCTTGGAACAATGCAAAGCATGTTATTCCCCCTTCTTCCCAAGTAATCCCCAGGATATCACTCTTCTATCCTGCAGCACACGTGTCAGAATCATAGTTCCTCAACAGAGTGAGGGCTTAGTACCTCAAGCTTGTCATACTTCTCCAGATGGTAGTGTTCAAGGCTATTTCCAAGGCATTTATACTTGTTTATTTGTTAGTGTTAAAGTCAGAGTTCCTCAGAGGACAGTAGCCAGCTGCTGCATTTTAGCTTTGTTCCATGGAGACTTGGAGGATTGTTATCCTCTTGATCGCTTGGCTGTCAATCTCTCTCTCTCTCACTCCTGCTCCCTTTGTTTACAAGTTGTACGATAAATTACTGTGTTGGTTTTACATGTAAAGCACTTCTCAGTCCTTAGTTGTTTCTAATTTCATCCTGTCTTTGTTTCTTCTTGGTTGTGTTTTCTGAATAAACTGTATTATTGAGCTGAGTGATGATAGTTATCCAAACGAATGTTAGGATACAGTAATTTCAGCTTTATTCCAACTAAACAACCTTTTATTTCCAGGGCCATTCCAAGTCTTCAACCTCATCATCATGTACCCTGTGCATAGGTGACTTGTGGCAGAAAAGGCGAGAATGAAGGAAAACTTAACATACGAAGTCTCCGAAGTATCTTTGATCATGTTTATTGGCTTTTCTAAGGTTAATCAATATTGTTAGTCTGGAAACCGTATCTATTAGCATGCTCAGATGAGTCCAGCCTCCCTTGCTTTAGGGCAGATTTCCATCCACTTGCTGAGCCAATCACAACCATTTATCTAAAATGGGACAGGTTTGATATGATGACTGACAGAGAAGCACTGCAGAATGATTTTCATTAACAACCAAGATGGCTGTCGCTGTAATATTATTATCAAAACAGTACTAAACAAACTTGATAATATAGTTTTGCTAAAAGAAGAACAAACAACTGTATGTTAAGTGCTTCCAGATATTATTCAGTTTTGTCTGTTTTTGTGTTGTTTGTGATGTCAATACAACTATGTAGATCTAAATATGAATCACATTCAACCAAGCCAAGCATATTATTATGGATGTATTCCCATGCTACAGATGTGACTTTACAGATTAAATAGGAAGAGAGTAGCAGCACGATTAAAATAAAATATGTCCATGCTAGCAAGTGGTCTGCTGAACCTGGATATACACAGTAACTGCCCATAAGGGATGTGGTAAGAAATAAAGCAAACATGCCTGTAACAATACAGTGATATGATTTGTCCTCGTCATGCCCGGGATTCTATTGGTTTAGGGGAATTTGATTTGGTCTTTTTACAGATATCCAACAGCAACAGCAAAATCATGAGAGCAGAATTTTAGCAAAGTTGAAATTTGACATAATCAGCATTTGTAAAAATTTTTGTATTTGTTAAATCAACCATAATGTCACAGCTTTTCCTCCTATAAAAGGTCTTAATAATTTAGTTTAATTCAGATGACTATCTGTTATGGTGTGTGTTATGTTCTACTGAGTTATATTATTGAATTGCTGCTGTCACTGTATCCACAGTAGGTGAAACAAATACTGGATCAAAGTCTGTAAGTAAACCGTACTCAAGAGTTTCACGTATTTATCTTTGTTTGTTAATAGATGCAGAAGTTAAGAGAGACACTTAAGATCCACCATCACATCCACACTCACCTGTCCGTTCTTCTTCAGGTCAGCCCACATGCTCGTCCCATCGCCACCTCTCATCAGGACATGGTATGTGAAGTAGTAGATACCTGGTAGAGGGCAGGTGAACTTGCCAGTGCTTGGCTCGTAGTAGTTCCCTACATTGGTCACCACGTCATCAAATTTTAGTATCTCACTCCCTTCGTGTTGTTTTCGGAGGCCTGCATAGAAGGCAATTTTGGGGCTGTAGAATGAGGGGCCGTAGCCACCGGGTCCGGGCCCTGGTGGACCCGGTGGGCCAGGCTTGCCGGGCTCTCCAGGGGGCCCCCTAGGACCTGGAGGGCCAGGAAGTCCAGGGTTCCCTCTGAACCCTTGTTTTCCCCTGCGGTTTGGGAAGTCTGGGGGCTGAGGGGAGACGGCTGTCAGCTCTCCCTGTGGGGGGGTGAAAGTGTCACACACCATCCTGCAGCTCCCAAGCATCTCGTATTGCGTGACCCCTCCTCCTGACCCTCCCCCTTTGGTGGTGTGGACCAAAAGGGGAATGGCCACCAGCAGAACCAGGACCATGGCCACGCCAACCCCAGCCCCGATGACACGTTTCTTGCGGCTGAGCCGGGAGGCGGCCAGCGTGAGAAAATCCTCCTCCCCCTTAGCTGGAATGGTTGTGCCGGCCAGGCTGAACTCTGGGTAGAAAGTCACTTATAGACTGAGAAGGAAGATGAGGGCAGAGAAAAGCAAAAAAGGGGGCTTCTCTAGGATTAGGGCAGGCAAGTCTCAGGCAGAAGCAGGAAAAATGAGGAAGAATGACAAATACAAATTTCCATTTCTTGAAGTTCAGTACATCTATTTGTATTTTTTTTTTAACTTTTCTCTTGGCTCACCGTGTCTGAGGGCATTCAACCTATCTAAAGATAATACATCACTTTGCAAGAGAAAAATATATGTATTTAAATGTCTTTGTCAAATATAAGCATTGCGATAAAAATTCTTTTTTTCTTTCCAGTTCTGTGATGGAAGCTCCAGTGAAAAGCTTTCAGTTGCTCAGGCAGAGAGCTGTCAGGTGGGGTCTACAGTTTTCCCACTGGAGTTCATCTCACCCAACACATACGAGGAAGGGTGCTTTACTTGTCTGTCCAGGAATGAGACAAGTAGAATAGGGAAACTGCTAAATCCCTGTTTTGTCTTTCTTCCTCCCTGATTCTGTTGATGGGCTCACAGCTCTCTGTACATCCGGCGTTTAGGGAAGAGCCAGGATTCTATTTCAGCTCAGCCGTCTACTCCTCCATTCAAAGTAAAGATTTGTTACAGGTCATAAAAAAGGGCAAATTCTGAAGAAAGGGTCGGGCCAAATTGCACTGAATTTAGGAAAATCTTGTTTTAAAGGCAGCTGGGATGAGGCAGAACACATTTTATTGGAGCATCGCCGTAAATCATCCAGTTTCTTGCAATCTGGAAAGAAAAAGACAAACTACACATAAATTTCAATAATCAGTCGTGGACAAACAATTGCAGATCGCTTTGCTCTAACCCGTATTCAATTTAAATTTAAAAAGTA